TTGTGATAGATAGATGGATGGATGGATGGATGGATGGATGGATGGATGGGATAACATGAGGTAAGGTAAGGTAAGGTAAGGTAAGGTAAGGTAAGGTAAGGTAAGGTAAGGTAAGATAGATAGATGATAGATAGATAGATAGATAGATAGATAGATAGATAGATAGATAGATAGATAGATAGAGATAGATAGATAGATAGATAGATAGATAGATAAGATAGATAGATAGAGCTGGATGGATACGGAGACAATAGACAGGCAGGCAGGCAGGCAGGCAGGCATGATAGAATTCAGGGGTCTTCAAACTTGACCGCTTTCAGACTTGTGGACTTCAACTCCCAGAATTCCTCCTCCAATAATGTCAGCTGAGGAATTCTGGGAGTTGAAGTCCACAAGTCTTAAACTTGCCAGGTTTGAAGGCCCTTGTTCTAAAAGGATGCCAATGACCAGCTGTCTGCAAGGAGTAGAAATCCTTCCATTCCCCACCATCCAGTCAGAGCTGAAGAAGCTTCTGGGATGAGAAGCGAAATGTCTTCAAAGGAAGAAACCAGAAAGTCCAGCTGCCTCCTGAAAAAGCACCTCTGGGTTTCACATAGCGCAGAATCAAAAGCCATTCATCCCTGATTTTCATCCCTGTCACCTTCGCACACCTTCGCACATCTTCCCAAAGAGCCCACCTGCAAACCCTTCCCCTCGACTGCTCTTTCTTGTCCACCAGCCTCACTGAGCCACTCAAAATGTTCTGTGAAGCTGAAGGCTCAAACCTCACGGAAGAGACGCTGCTCGGCCTTCCGCCATCGAACCGCTACAGGTAGGCCTCGCCTTACGACCGCCACTGATCCCAACGTTTCTGTGGCTAGGCGAAAACAGTTAAATGAATTTTGCCTCCTTTTACGACCTTTCTCGCCACAGGGGTTAAGGGAACCACTGCGCCCGGTAAGTTAGTAGCACAGCTGTTAAAGTGAGCCTGGCGTCCGCATTGACTATTCTGGTCAGAAGGTCGTAAAAGGGGATCGCATGGCACTGGAACCGTCATAAATATGAGTCCGTTGCCAAGCGACCAAATTTCATTCCCATGACCATGGGGGAATGCTGCAACGATCGAAAGTGTGAAAAACGCTCATCGGTTGCTTTTTTTCAATGCTGTGGTAACTTTGAACGGTCCCTAGACGAACTCTTGTCGGTCGAGCACTACTACCTGTAGTAGCAAATGAAGAGTAAGTAAGTCACGGCCGTTTCCTGCATCATCAGGCCTTTTGACTTCTCCAGTGTGTCTCCAGACCTCACCAGGCGCAGGTCAATCAGAACCCCAGGTGCATTGTGGGAACTGAAGAGGCTGGCTCCTTCCTGGAGGCTGGGCCTCACACCAGGTAGGTCGAGGCTGGGTTTGGCCTTTGTTTGGGCTAAAGAGGGCTGACTCTGCTCTGAGCAGGGCAAATGCACTTTCACCAGCTTCCTTCTTTCTGCACCAACTCCGAAAGCTCAAACTGCCCAAAAGGAGCTGCTGATCCAGTTCCACAGAGGAATCACTGAGTCTGCCATCTGCACCTCTATAACTGTCTGGTTCGGTTCTGCAGCCCAACAGGAAAGACACAGACTCCAGAGAGGAATTAGGACTGCAGAAAGAACAACGGCTACCAACCTGCCTTCCATCGAGGACGTGAATCCTGCACGAGTCAAAAAGAGGGCTGTGAAAATATCTACAGACCCCTCACATCCTGGACGTAAACTGTTTCAACTCCTTCCCTCAAAACTACACTATAAAGCCCTGCACACCAGAACAACTAGACGCAAGAACAGTTTTTTGCTAAACAAACAATTCCCTCAACACTGTACAAATTCTTCACTACTATTACTATTAATCTTCTCATCACTCCTTCTCACCCCTCCCCTCCCACTTGTGACTGTATGACTGTAAACTTTATCACTTGTATCCTAACGATCTCTATTGTTTCCTAGTATGATTTGATTGCTTATTGTGCCCTATGACTATCATTAAGTGTTGCACCTGATGATTCTTGGCTCTTGACAAATGTCTCTTTTCTTTTATGCACACTGAGAGCATTTGCACCAAGACAAATTCCTTGGGTGTCCAATCACACTTGGCCGTATTAGAAGTAGAATAAAGAATTGCTCTGACAAATCCGGTCCCTGCCATTACTACACCACCAGCTGAAATCCTCCCAGCTGATGAGATTCACTGTGAAAGCCTCACTGGTTAGATATGGCAAGATTGATCGACAATCTTCACCTCTGAACATCAGTCCAGACTGAGGTGCCTCTCTCTCTCTCTCTCTCTCTTTTTAAAGACTGCAGTCTGGGCATTAAGTGCTTCTTGGCAGCCTCTCTGCATATCATCCCAGATCTTCTGGGAGACCAGCCACACAGTAATGTAGCCTAATGAATAAGGATGCCAACTTCTCTGTGGTTCTTCTTCCAAGCCTCACATAGTCGGGGGAAATGAATTATACCAGAGCCACACTGTTCTGGGCATCTCAGTTGTTTGGCTAAGGTTTAAGTTATAAGAATTACTTAGGCAAGGCGAATGGCATGATGTGTTTAGCCCGCTGCCCCTCCGTCAATGGCCTCATCCAGAGGTTTTTGCAAGGCAGGTTATCAATAAAGGAGAATATTTGCAGCTCGGGGTGGAAATCAGGAGTCCTTGGCGCTCTCGGAGGTTGCTTGTTTTGTTGCAGACATTTCGCTACCAAACTAGGTAACATCATCAGCGCTAGTAAGGAGTGCGGTGCAGAGTGCAGAGTCAGTGACAGCAAACCCCCATTCCTTACTAGCACTGATGCTGTTGCCAAGTTTGGGTGATGAAAAGTCTGCAAGAAAACAAGCAAGATCAGAGGGCACCAAGGACTCCTCCACACAACAGTTCATTTAGTGACCATTCAAAGTTACAATGGCACTGGAAAAAAAGTTACTTGTGAACATTTTTCACCCTTACAACCATTGCAGGATCCCTGTGATCTCACGATCAAAATTCAGGCGTTTGGCAACCGACGTGTATGTATGATGGTAGCAGTAACCCCAGGGGGAAGTGGGGGCAAGTGATCCCTTTCGCAACCATCTTGCAAGCAAAGTCGATGGGGAAGCCAGATTAACTTAACTGTGGAACTAACTTAATTAACTGCGGTGATTCACTTAGCAACTGTGGCGAGAAAAACTGTAAAATGGGGCAAAGCTCACTGAAAGCTTTCACTTAGCAACAGGGATGTTGGGCTCAACTGTGTACAGAACTGACCCCTTTAAAGAGAAAATTGGAATTATCCGGATATCCATGACAGGAAAGACAATTAGGAGGGACAAGATCCCATAGTCCTTGACCCAATCCTGGTCTTTTGTCCTTACTGGAAAGTCAAGCCCTGCCTTCGTGCAGCATCTGCAAGACCCTAAAGACCTGGCTCTGGAAATTTGCCTGCAGACCCCAATGGGAGAGTTGAACTCTGAAGGTGGCTGCTAGACTGACAGCAGGATCCACCTTCCCTCCCCTGCGCCCCCCTCACCCATCTTCTTTGCTAATCATATCCATGCATTTTCCTTGTTTTCTTTTTCCTTGTTCATTTCAGGCTTTTATTTTACTTTTGCTTTGTTCCAACTTCCTTTTTTTTTCTTTTTTATGTTTGTGAGCTGCTTAGAGTAAGGTGAGCCGATGGTGAGCGATAAATGGCAAATCAATAAAGAAGAGGAACTAGATAGACGAAAATGCCAAATCCAGTCTGAACATCTGGCTGACTGTGCGACGAACCATAACAATAAACCCTCTAACACCATCAAACATCCATATCTGCCTATCCCAGGTCCTCGGTAAAGACTCAATAGGTAGATGAAAACACCAAACCCAGTGTGAACTTCTGGCTGACTGTGCAATGATTAATAACAACAACAATAATATACAGACATTTCCTGAACAGCTCTGAGGTCCTTGTTTAGGCCTTGAACTGCTAAGTTTTTATGAGTCCCAGACTGTGACCTGAATTGTAGATTAAATAATAACAATACCAGGTCCTTGGAAAAGACTCCATAGGTTGACAAAAATGTGAAACCTAGTCTGAACATCTGGCTGACTGTGGAATGATTAATAATAATAATAAAGATATCAATAATAATAACCATCATCATCATTTGCAGGCATTACCTCAACAGCTCTTGGATCCTTGTTTAGGGCTTGAACTGCTAAGTTTTTTTTTAACATTCCCATAGTGTGAATCAAACTGTAGAATAAATAATAACAACAACAATACCAGGTCCTTGGAAAGGACTCCATAGGTTGAGAAAAATGTGAAACCCAGTTTGAACATCTGGCTGACTGTGCAACGATTAATCATCATCATCATCATCATCATATACAGACGTTACCTCAACAGCTCTTCAGTCCTAGTTTAGGACTTGAACTATTAAGTTTTTACCAGTCCCAGACTGTGAATGGAATTCAAGATTAAATAACAACAACAATCCCAGGTCCCTTGCAAAGGACTCCACAGACAGACAAAAACGTGAAACCCAGACTGAACATCTGGCTGACTACAAGAAAATAAAATAAAATACAATACAAATACTAGTAATACTAAGACTAATAAATAAAATATCATACAAATACTAGTAATACTGATACTAATAGTACTAATAGTAATACTAATTCTAGTGCTATAATAATGCTAATAATAATACCAATGCTAATAATAATGCTAATGCTAATAATAACAATCATACTACTATTAATAAACCATAATAATAAGGCAATCCCTCCCTCCTACCCGGGCTGAGCCGAGCAACCCAGCATCTGGCGGAGGAGCCAAAACTGGGACCCTGTACCGCCCAAAAGAAGGGGGAAATGGGAGGCTGGGGGTGGGAAGCAGCCCCTCCCCCAGGAGGGAAGGAGGGAGGGAGGGGGGATGGCAACCCCAAGTCCCGCTCGCTGGCCCTCTGGCCCTCCCCCTCTCCCCAGCCCCCCAACCCCCCCACCCAGCCCCGGCCGCCCCCTCCTCACCCACCGGAAGCGCCCCCCGCAGTGCTGGCACTGGTCGCCCACCCAGCCGGGCTGGCACTCGCACTGGCCGGTGCTGGGCTGGCAGCGTCCTCCGTTGGCGCAGGGCTTCTCGCACGCCTTGCCATCCGCCGTGGTCGACTCCGCGCCCCGCGCCGCCAGCAGCGGCACCAGCAGCAGCAGCATTCGCCACGGCAAGGCCGGCAGAGCCTCCAGCAGGCCGGACGACGCCCCCCGACGACGACGACGCCGGTCCCACCGCTCCATGGCCGGAGCCCAGCCCCCGAGGGCGCGGAGAACCGGGGGGGGGGGCCGCCGACGGCCGCTCTTCGGAAGAGGAAGAGGAGGAGGAGAAGGGCCGGCCGCCTTTTTTTCCCCGGCTCTCACGCCTGACCCGCCGCCGCCGCCGCCGCTTTCAGTCGCCGGACCCTCCGGAGGTAGAAGCGGCCCGGAGCCGCCGCGCCGCCATCACGCACGCGCGCGCGCGTCCCCTCCCGATGGCGTCACCCGGCCCTGGACGAGCGCCCAAGGCGGCGAACGAGCGTCTGCGGACGTGTCGGCGGGAGGACTAGAGCGGCCACCGGCCGCTCTGACCGCGCCAGAAAGGCCATCGAGAGGAAAGCGGAGTTGTCGGTTTCCCCGGCAACGGGCTAAGGGGGTGGCGGAGAGGGGGGGGGTGAGTGGGCGTGGCCTCTCCGCCCTCAGGCTTCGCCCACCAGCAGGTGGGAATCCAACCGGGGGAGTCAGGGATTCAAAGAATGCCGCTAGTCCTCGACTTAGGACCCCAACTGAGCCCGAAATTTAGGACGCAAAGGGAAACATTTATTAAAAGTGGGGTTTTGCTCCCTTTTTATAACTCCTTTTTTTTTTTTTTTTGGCCAGGGAATCCCTGCAGTTGTTAAGTTCGTCACACGGTCGTTAAGCGAAGCCGACCCGAGGACACTGCAACGGTCATAAATACGAGTCAGTTGCCAAGCGCATGGGTTTCAATCACATGACCGTGGGGATGCGGCGGCGGACATTTAAGTGTGACAAACATAACTCGCTTTTTTTTCAGTGCCGTTGTAACTTTGAATGGCCACTAAACGGACTGTTGTAAGTCGAGGACTACCTGTACTAACGACTCAGTTAAAGCTCTGGCTGCATTTGGGACTGTGTGGAGCACCCTGTGGTCATGTGACCATGTTTTATGCCAGCTTTGCCCAAACTTATCCCTTCTGGGTTTCGGCAAAACTAACCCCATGAAGAACCATAGATCCGTTTAACGACTGTGGTATTCAATTAACGACTGTCACAGAAATGTTGTTAAAACTGAGAACAGTGACCACACACGACCATAATGGGCAGGCTTTATTATGGCTGTATGTCAAGGACTCCCTGCATCACATGAACCAGTGAGCCAGAACTCATATTATTATAAAGAATAACAAGATGATAAGTTGTCCTTTAGTGAATCAAGGCACTGTGAATCTTTTCCTGCCCAGATGGCCTAAATTGGTGTTTACACAACTTTAATTATAATTATTTTTTTCAAGGCAATCTCCTTCCTGCTCCGTAACATTGAGCCCTGTCAAATCCCAGATGATTGAGGCGTCCATCTTCTAGGAAACGCCGAGAGAGAGGCATGGGATACAAACGTGTGAAGTATGGGATCCGTGGCTCGGAGAGTCTACAGCGGCGAGACAATGACGCCAAGTTTCTGCAAAATGTAGTGGTGACATTCAGATACAAAACCTAGTAGCCCTACCGATATAGCCCGTAGACTTATAGACTGCTTTTACAGCCCTCTTTAAGCACTGAAAAAAAGGGACTTAGGGCCATTTTTCACGCTTACGACCATTGCAGCATCCCTATGGTCACATGATCAAAATTCAGATGTTTGGTGACTGACTCATACTTAGACGGTGACAAGCGAAGTCCATGGGGGAAGCCACTTACGCAGGGGTGGTATTCAGGTTTGGACCAATTCTCGGGAACCAGTAGCGGAAATTTGGAGTAGTTGGGAAAACTGGCCAATCCCACCTCGGACTGGCCCCGCCAACCCCAATCTCTTCTCTGCCTCCCATTGAGTCCCAGCTGATCGGCTGGGTCTCCTTTGGTTGCCCTGCATAGGAGAAGGGAGCTGGAAAGCAGGTTAGTGGGATGGGGAGGGAAGGGGGATTTTGCAGTATATCCTTCCCCTGCCATGCCCACCAAGCCATACCCACCAGGCCACGCCCACCAGGCCACACCCACAGAACCGGTAATTTTTTTTTTTAACCCCACCGCTGCACTTCACTTAACAACTGCAGTAATCCCCTGAACGATTGTGGCAAGAAAGTTCGCGAAATGGGGCAAAGCTCACGGAACATCTGTTTCACTTAACAACGGCACTCTGGGGCTCAATTGTCGTAAGTTGAGGCCTGCCGATAATTCCCGGCCGAAGGTTAGGCGTAATGTCCGAACAGGAAGAGCATTTTGTGGATAGAACCAGGGAGCCCCGAACAATGCTGAGCATTTCCCCGCCTCCCGTGTGTTCGACTGGAGGCCAAATAGCATCTGTCAAGGATCTTTTAATTGGATTCTTGCACTCGGCAGGGGGCTGGATTTGATGGCCTATAAATGGCTTTTATTCTATTGGTGGGTAAAGACAAATGGTACACCCTGCGGTGAGCTACAAACGATATTGTTGCATTTCCCAATCCTGTTTGCAAGAGTCTGTGCTGGATCTTGGAAGGTGCTTGGCCTTGGCCGTTTGGCCGTTACTCAGATAGTGACCGCTTGGTCCAGGTAATCCTGGACTTACAAGGACAACTGGGATCAGAATTTCTGTTGCTAAACAACATCACTAAGCGCTCAACAGATTACGATATATTTTGCCACAGTTCTTCCACAAAGCGCTGCCGTTGTTAAGGGAATCAGGCGGTCATTAAGCAAACCTGGCTTCTTCCAGCCATGGGGAAGAATCGTCTGATGTCCATCCGTCTCCAAGTTGAGAAACGCGAAGCTAAAAGCATCAGCAAATTCGCAACCTCAGCATCTTTTAAGATGGTGGGCCTCAATTCGTCAGGCGGCAAAGTTTGACGTCTACCCATCTAAAAGTTTGCAAGGTTGAGAAGCATTAATCGAGGGCAGTGATGACGGACCTTTTTATTGGGGTGTGCCAAAAAGAGTGCGCGTGCCAGCACCCACAATGCAATACGCCCTGCCCCCTCCTGCGCATGTGCGTGCAACACCCCCACCCCACCCCCATACCTGCACTATGCATGCACGCGCCTCCCAGCTGATTTTCAGCCTGTTGGAGACTGTTTTTGCCCTCTGGGAGGCTCGGGCAAAGCCTCTTCAGCCTCGGGAGGCTGAAAAATGGGCCTTCTAGAAATACCGGAAGGGCCCGGTTCAGCCTCCGGAGCAGTAGTGGGATTCAATTTTATTTTATTTTTATTACCGGTTCTATGGCCGTGGCTTGGTGGGCGTGGCAAGGGAAGGATCCTGTAAAATCTCCAGTCAGAGGTGGGATTTGCTGGTTTTCTGAACTATTATTCCAAATTTCCGATACCGGTTCTCCAGAACTGGTCAGAACCTGCTGAATAGACCACCTCTGCTCCGGAGGGCCTCGGGAGGCTGAAAATGGGCCAATTTCGGCACTTCTGGTATTTCCAGAAGGCCCGTTTTTCGGCCTCTTGAGGCTGCAGAGGCTTCCTTTGAGCCTCTGGGAGGGCGAAAACATCCTCAAACGGGCCAAAAATTAGCTGAGAGGCGCACGCACGAGCAGTGCAAGTAAGTTTGGCAGGGGCTTCTGTTGAGGTAATTCCCCGTTAGGAGAATGAGCGCGTACAGGGAGACGTATTTGAGAGTAGTGTTGGAAAAATACACACACAGCACACAGATACACTGTACAGTATATGTAGGTTTTTTTACTTTCACTAAAGGTTTAAGCAAAGTCCAAATTAAGCAGTCCAAAAGTCATTTACAGGTAAATCAGTCAGTTTTTCAATCCAGGGATGATCCAAAATATCAAATTCCAGTGTCAAAAAACTGTTCAGTAACAGACTTACATTAAATCCAGTAATATCAGTCAATTAGAAGAAATGGAGCAACGGCAATACTTTCCAACAGAAGGAAACGGAGATACACCCAGACACACTCTCTTCTGAGACTAAGACTAAAACAACCCAGGTTTCTGGCTCCATCTTATGGCTGTTTGAGAAACCACACCCAATTGCACGCTCTTGCATTCCCTTAAAGAGACAGTATTAAAATGTCTATCCTGGTTTATATGTTTCTAACTCAAATACCTGTTAAGTGACTTATATTCCTAACAGCTTCTCCATGGGAGCTCCAGGTTCTGTCCTGCAGTTGGTAATACCCAAACTCACGTCACCTTGTGGACCCATCAAGCATGCCCTCAAATCATGTGCAGATTGGACAAAGCACATTCAGCGCCGTCTGCAGAGGTCCAGAAAGATTAACTTAAGGAAGACAGGGAGGGTTTGGTGGCACAGAGGGAGAGAGAGAGAGACAGAGAGAGGAAGAGAGACAGAGAGAGATCTCGCAAGGTTGATTTTTTTCCCTGCCATGATTTCCAGAAGCTGATCTTGATGATGCTGTAAATTACACGAAGCTCCCACAATGGAGGGAGAAAAAACCGCTGTTAGGTGTCCTCCAGTGTTGTCAGTTTGCTTGTCGGTTTTTGCTTGGCCTTTGGGAGCATGTCTTGTGCAGGCAGGCTTCCAACACTTCGTGTAGTGGCTTAGGCTAAGACGTAGGATAACTTGATCGTCACTTTGAATGTACGCGGAAATTTCTCTTGCTAAGCGAGACAGTTGCTGAGCGAGTTTTGCCCCCTTGTGCGACCTTTCTTGTCGCCGTTGTGAAGTGAATCACTGCAGTTGCTAAGCTGGTAGCCTGGTTGTTAAGCAAATCTGACTTCCCCCTTGACTTGGGGACCCTGCAATCGTCATAAATGTGAGCATATGATCATGCTGGGGACCATAAGCGTGAAAAATGGTGGCAAGTCCCATTTTTTTCAGTGCCATTGTTACTTTGAAAGGTTAGTGGCAATAGTAATAGATTTATATATGGCTTCCCAGTGTTTTCCAGCCCTCTCTATTCTCAGTGTTCATAAAAGAAAAGATACATTCGTCAAGAGTCAAGAATCATCAGGTACGACACTTAATGATAGTCATAGGATACAATAAGAATAGAAATAGAAATAGAAATAGAAATAGAATAGAATAGAATAGAATAGAATAGAATAGAATAGAATAGAATTGAATAGAATTGAATTGAATAGAATTCTTTATTGGCCAAGTGTGATTGGACACACAAGGAATTTGTCTTGGTGCAAATGCTCTCAGTGTACGTAAAAGAAAAGATACATT